ACCATAGTAGTATTTCGGAGAGGTTTAGATGATTTTGTAGATTGTAGATGACGACAGAGCATTCATTCATTCTGTTTTTGTTTTGGGATTTGAGGTGTGCAAGAAGTGAGACTGAAAGCTTAGAGTCATTTTATTTGCAGAGGTAGTAATTGTGAGTGAATTGGGATTTTTGTGATTGTGGTAAAAACCAACCTGATTCTCATTGATGATTCTCTACAACTAATATACAGAAGAGATGAGGAAAAAGTGGTGCACGTATTAACAGAATGGCAGCCACTTCCCACAAGAATAGGAACAGAAAATATACAGGAAAAAGAATAAAGAAATTAATAACAGATGTGGGATCATGTATCTCTAATACGCCCCCGCAAGATGGAGGAGGTATCAACGACTCCAATCTTGGCTCGTAGAAGAAGAAAACGTGTGGACGGTAAGGGCTTGGTGAGAGCATCGGCAAGCTGGTGAGACGTGGGAATGTAGGAGACATGTAGACGACCAGCCTGAACGAGTTGCCGAACAAAGTGATAGTCGAGAGCTAGGTGCTTCATGCGAGAGTGAAAAACAGGATTAGAGCTGAAGTAGGTAGCACCAAGATTGTCGGAGTAGATCGTAGGGGCCACGGCCAAAGGATGATGAAGTTCCTGAAGAAGATTTTGCACCCACTCCAACTCGGCAGTAGCATTGGCAATGGCACGATACTCGGCCTCTGTGCTGGAGCGGGCAACAGTACGTTGCTTCTGGGAGCGCCAGGAGATGAGAGTAGAGCCGAGATAAACTAGATAACCGGAGGTTGAAGACCGGTCATCAAGATTACCAGCCCAGTCAGCATCAGCAAAAGCAGAGAGAGACAGAGAGCCAGGACAGCGGCGTATAGAGAGGCCATAGGAGAGAGTGCCCGAGACGTAGCGAAGCAACCGCTTAACGCACTGCCAATGAGACATCGTCGGAGCATGCATAAACTGAGAGAGCTTATTGACCGAGTACGCAATATCAGGACGCGTGTAGACAAGATACTGGAGAGCACCCAGAACCTGGCGAAACCGGGTGGCATCAGTAGGAGCACTGCCATCAGAGAGAGTAAGTGAAGCAGAGGCAGCAAGAGGTGTGTCAACGGGCTTGGCATCCAGCATAAGAAAACGATTAAGAAGATCCACCATGTACTTATGCTGAGAGAGAATATATCCCGTGGAAGTAGGAATAACTTCAATGCCCAGAAAGTAATTGACATCTCCAAGAGCCTTGAGAGAGAACCGGGCAGAGAGAGCCTGCTGAAAGGAGGCGAGTGTGGCAGAGTCATTGCCGGTGAGCAACAAATCGTCAACATAGACCAAAAAATATAGCAGAACCCCCCCACGAGAATACACAAACAAGGAAGCATCGGAATGCGTCTTCGTGAAGCCAAAATCAATAAGAAATGAGCTCAAAGCAGTATACCATGCCCGGGGGGCTTGGCGAAGGCCATAAATAGCACGACGAAGACGACAAACATGATGAGGACGGGAGGAGTCAACAAAGCCCGGAGGTTGCTCCATATAAACCTCCTCTTCTAAAGGACCCTGAAGAAAAGCATTGTTAACGTCAAATTGAGCAATGGGCCAAGACTGAGAGAGGGCCAGAGTGAAGACGGTACGAACAGTGACCGGTTTGACAACCGGACTGAAGGTATCTGCAAAATCAAGCCCAGGACGCTGATGATAACCTTTAGCCACCAGGCGTGTCTTAAACCGAGAGATAGAGCCATTAGGATGATGCTTGACACGGTAAACCCACCGATTCCCAAGGACGTGATAATGAGGAAGACGAGGGACCAAGTCCCATGTATGGTTGGCCAACAGTGCGGAGTGCTCGGTGCGGAGAGCAGCATCCCACTCCGGGAATTGGAGAGCCTCATGAATAGATTTGGGCTCAAGGGGAGGCGGGCCAGGAGACAGCAAAGTGTGAAACAGGCGCTTCTTTGGGCGAAAAATACCATGCTGGGCGCGGGTGGCCATCTGATGCGAGCGGGCCGGAGGCGGAGGCGGGCCGGAGGGGCGGGAGGGCCCAGCAGGCGGGGTAACGGGCACGGGCTGAGGGGGCAGGGGCCCGGAAGCTGATGAAGAAGGCGGAACGGGCCCAGTCGTGGAATCAAGCCCATTCGTGGAGGATCCACGCGCGGGTACATCTGCTGGGGAGGAAACAGCCACGGGTGATGAAGATGAATCAGGCCCAGGAAGTGCAGCGGGCCCAGGCAGTGCAGCGGGCCCAGATGGTGACAAAGTGGAGCAGGCCGGAAGTGAATAAATAGAAGGAGAGAGGTCAAAAAGCCACGAGTCAGCCCAATGAGAAGCAGCAGGAGTGGTGTCAAAGCCTGGAAATTGTGACTCAACAAAAACAACATGTCGTGAAATAAAGATACGACGTGTGTTAGGATCAAAACATCTATAGGCACTACGTTGAGGACAATAACCAATGAAGAGACATGGACGTGAGCGGGGATCAAGCTTATGTGAGGAATATGGGCGAAGCCAAGGATAGCACAAACAACCAAAAATACGAAGTTTATGGAAGTTTGGAGGAAGATTGAAAAGAAGTGTATAAGGAATTTTACCACGCAGGGCGGAAGACGGAAGCCGGTTGATAAGATAGACTGCAGTGGAAAACGCAAAAGACCAAAAAGAAATGGGAAGTTTAGCATGATGAAGAAGAGTGATACCAGTTTCGACCAGATGACGATGTTTTCGTTCAGCAATCCCGTTATGTTCAGGAGTATGGGGTGGAGTGAGAAGATGGGTAATTCCATGATTAAGTAGATCAGAACGCAATTTTATGAATTCACCGCCACCATCTGTATAGAGATGACGAATAGTGGTGGAGAAATAGTTTTCAACCATCTTTCTAAAATCAAGAAAGGTTTGGAGAACATCAGATTTGTTGCGTAAAGGATAATACCAAGTGTACCGAGTGAAATGATCAACAATAATCAAGTAATAATGAAACCCATCAATTGAAGAAACAGGAGCAGGACCCCAAACATCCGTGTACAAAAGATCAAAAGGACGAGTGCTAACCAAAGTGGAAACTGAGAAAGGCAGTTTATGGCTTTTATTGGAAAGACAAGCATCACATGGAAAACTAGCAAGAGACGATGACACAGGAAGAGAATATGACCGAACTAAATTGGTGAGAGAATGATGTGAAGGATGACCAAGACGAGCGTGCCACGAAGTAGCGGAGGTTCGAGTTGTGACCAAGGCCATGCTGACATGCTCCACTTCCCGAGGCAGTTCATAGACATCACCGTTGTTTTCCCCCTTCAGCAGAGGCGCCCCCGTGCGAAGATCCTTCACAAGAAAATGAGTGGCAAAAAATTCCACCGAGACAGGGTTAGTTTGACAGAGTTTGGCAACAGAAATCAAATGTTTCTTGATACTTGGAACACACAAAATATCACGTAAATGAAACTGAGTGGAGCCAAAAGTGACTGAAGAAGAACCGATATGACTGATTGCCAAACCTGAACCATCACCAACAAGGATCTCGTCGGGCCCGGTATAATCAGAATAGAGAGAAAGCTGCCCCAAATCAGAAGTCACATGGTGTGAAGCGGCGGTATCCATAAGCCAATGCCCAGTAGCAGAAGAGGAGCCCATATGAGTGTGATTGACCTGCTGGCCCGCCCGAGACTGCTGAAAAGCTTGGCGGGCTTGGGGAAACAACTTAAAGCACTGGCGGACAGAATGGCCGGGCTTTTCACAATATTGACAAATAAGGCTGGACTTGCGTTGGCGATTGGGCTCAAGTAAAATAGATGGGCCTGTGCCCTGATGGTGAGCCCGTGACTGAATGGGCTCAATGTTGAACCCTAGCTGCTGGCGGGAGGCAGCGGGCTCATGATGGAGGCCCAGCTGCTGCGAACGGTGCTGAGGACGAGAGAAGTTAGGGTTGCCCCCTCCGCCAGTCAATCCGCCGCCGCCACCTGAAGATCGACGCGCCGGCGCTTGGGAATAAAAGGCGGTGGGCACCGTGGAAGACCGGGCCTGCTCACGCAAATCCGCCTCATACTCGATGAGGCTATCCAGCAAATCCTCGATCGACACCGTTGTGCCGCGAGCTCGTACGGCGGCCGAGAAGTGATTGAAATCGGGGCCAAGTCCCCGAAGGCAGTGCACGACCAGATCAATGTCAGAGACTGGTGCGCCGACTAGAGCGAGTTCCGCAGCGGTCTGCTTCAAATCATTCACATATTCAAGAACATCACGATTCCCCCTTGTAGTCCGAGCAATCTTCCCTTTAAGATTGATGATTCGTGACCCAGAGCGGCCAGCATACAATTTCTCAAGGATAAGCCAAGCCTCCCGAGAAGTGACAGCAGCAGAGACAAAGGAATAGAGTGATTCCGAGATAGAACAGCGAAGCGCGTGCAAGATCAATTTATCTTGCCGAAACCAGAGGTGATAGGCAGGATTGGGGCTGCTGCCATTGTCGACAGTGATGGTGCGTGCAGGCGCGACCCCGGTGCCGTCAATGAAACGAATAAGATCGAGACCCATAAGAAGGGTCTCCAATTGAGATCGCCAAGAGTTGAAGTTTGTGGAAGTCAATTTCACAGGTAGTTGAGCAGCCGGATTGAAAGTGATGATGGATCCATCGGCTGGAGCTGAGTTATCAGAAGCACTGGTACCTGACATGATAAAGACTCAAAAACAGAGTACGAGAGAGGCAGGGGCAGTGAGCCAGAGATATTGAAGACGAGATAAAAAAAAAGGCAATCAGGATTGGATCGACAAGATGAACTTTTCTTGCTCTGATACCATGTGAGTGAATTGAGATTTTTGTGATTGTGGTAAAAACCAACCTGATTCTCATTGATGATTCTCTACAACTAATATACAGAAGAGATGAGGAAAAAGTGGTGCACGTATTAACAGAATGGCAGCCACTTCCCACAAGAATAGGAACAGAAAATATACAGGAAAAAGAATAAAGAAATTAATAACAGATGTGGGATCATGTATCTCTAATAGTAATCAAGCAGGTTGGTAGCAAGGCTTTTCGGGAGAAGGCTCTTAGCTGCTGCGAAGTCTGAAACTTATTCGACAACAGCAGCTGCTGCTGGTGCTACAGCAACGGCTAGATCCGGACATAATCCTCTGGAGGAATTTTTTGAGAAAGATAGGAGCCAAGATGAGGATAAACCTATTGTATATGGTATGTGGGCCTTTGATTCTGTGTCTATGGTAGCGTTGTACGAGTCGGTTTTACCTGAATTAGATTGAGTTTTGCTACTAGTAAGCTGAAATATACCAGCTACATTGGTACTATAGCTGTCCTTAGTAATGTAAAACTATAATCTGGCAAGAAATTTGGAGATAATGTGCTCGTTGCTTTTCCCATGCCTTGACCAATTTTGCCTGACCAGGTCGAAGTTGGAAAGCTTCTGAACTGCGGTTGAAATCTTGGGATGATTTATAGAAGCTATGGTACGTCCTTCTGAAGGAGAAAAACATGTTGATGACTCAACGTCAGATGCTTCATTCTCAAAACTTGAGATTTCCCAATCCCGAGCGCTTGCCCAAAGTAGGTATCGACCCCTTATTCTCCATTGTTCAGTACAAGTATGAAATTGTACTTTTCTTTGCTGCCTTAACTAAGCAAGCTCCCGCAGTTGACGTCAGAGCTAATAAGATTAAGCCTAAATTCGTTTCTCTTGTAGATTTTGTCATTCCTTTCCCCATTATTTCTCTTTTCGTTTCGACTTTTGATAATGCAGCTACTGGCATTACCGAGACAATGTTGTTCCTTTAGTTGCTTGAATCAATGAAACAAAATTGCTTGGGCGGCATTGCTTAAATGTATTGTTACAGAATGTCATTGTCCTAACTCCTAAGGAAGTTCCATCTTTTCCATATGATGGTGCAACTCAGGTGAGGAAATCGATGTGTCGCATTAAGCAAGTTGAAAGAACACGGATCTAGGTGTGCGATTGAGGATCGTGATTGGTATGAGAATTAGGGATTTGGGATGAGGTAGAATTTGGGAATTAGGGTTGAGAGAAGAGGTTTCCGGGCACCGGGATGGTGGCCGACGAGTTGAAGAAGGGAGGAGGGGGTTTCGGTTGTGATAGGGAGAGAGAGAGAGCTTAGGGAATAATTCTGTTGTTATTGCTTAACCCTAACTTATGCCTAACACAGAATATATATAAACCGACTAATTCCCTCTAGATACCCAAAGACTTAACCTAACCGATTTAACCCCAATAGTTCCCAAAATAGCCGACATAATATAAAACGTCAAATAACAAATAAACCCCAAATTACTAATTGTCTGACACAAGTGCTCACCGAGAGAGCAATTGAAGAGCCCGATCAAAGGAGGTCTGCTGAGATGAAGAGAATGGTGAACGCTTTGTAACGACTGGAATCTGCTCGCTGCTGTTGCGCCGATGGCCGCCGGTTTTGCATTTCCCGACGGCGGTGAGGTACACGCTCCTGCTCCCACTCCTCCACTGGCCTTCTGGATACGCCCACCCGACGTCCTCCAACTAGCCAGCTCCTCTTCCTTGCGCCCTGCAATCCTGAAAGCAACTCGAAGAGAGTCAGGTTCGAAAACCTTAACTGCGGTCGCCAGCTCCGGGGCGGAGTCCCGCCATACACAATCCCACCAAGGTCTCCTCCGTCATTTCCTTGCATTGGTTTCCCAGTTTAAGGAACTCCGCGCGATACTCGGCCACCGACCCTGTCTGCCTGAGCTTGGCCAGCTGTTCCGGGGCCCATCTCTCCGCCTTGCCAAACTGGTAGTGTAGCTCATCCTGGAACCTGGGCCACGAGATGAACTCACCTGCTGCTGCATAGGACCTCTCGGTCCATTCCCACCACTGGAGCGCATCCCCCTCGAGATAGAAGGATGCCAGGTGCGCCTTCCTCTCTTCTCGGATCGGGTGGTTTCTGAACCACCTCTCAGCTGCATACAACCACAAACCCACATCTCCCGAGCCGTCGAATTTGGGAAATTCTATCACTGGCGGTTTAGCTCTAAATACCAATTCCTCTTCAGTCTCATATTGAGGGTTATGGTACTCATACCTGCCTGTACTCGATGGCACTGGCTGATTCCTCGATCCTTGACGGTAGTGGCTGCCCGCGGCTCGCTGCTGGGGAGGGTAGGGCCAGTCGCCCCTCACCTCCTGATGATTCCCCTGGTACTCAGGCTTGGTCCCCGACCCTTGCCCAATATCCTGCCAACCTCGACCGCGCCCTCCTCCTGTCCGCGGTGTACTCCATGGGGGGTACCCGTACTCCGGGCCCTTGCCGGGACCTCTGCCCGGCCCATACCAGCTGCTGCCCGTTTGCGGATGACCCGGACCAGTTCGGTTCGGTCCAACCGGTTTCGGTCCGACCGGCAGGTCACCCTGCAACCAGCCCGGTTTCGGTCCCGCGACCCAGCCCCATCTCGCCTCCTCCTCCGGGCTCGGTTCCATCCATCCCTCCGGGTCACCAAAACTCAACTCCTCCTCCTCGGGCCAGGGTTCTTCTCTGTCAGGCCCAAACGACAATGGCTCTCCTTCGTACCCGGCCATCTTCTGCTTTCCCTGGGCCTTGTCTTGGGCCGGTTCCGTCGGAGTTGGCAGCAGGCCAGGCCCGCTGAATGCAGGCGCGATTGCAGACCTGGCGCTCGAATTTCCCGACGCCCCGCCTGACGCGGCCAGCTCCTGCGTCGTTCCGTCCTCGGCCCCGCCGCCCGGCGCTTCTCTTCCGCCACCTTCTCCTCCCGGCGCGCGCGCGCCCCAGCATGCCCTACACCCGCGTCGCCGCGCGGCGCCCCCTTCGCCTCCGAGCCCGCCGCGGCTGCCTCCGCCGGCTTCGCTCCCGCTGCGGTTGCTGCTGCCGGTGCCGCCCCTATAGCCGGAGCCGCCAGCGGCTCCCTGTTCTTCAGGACTTGGGTTAGCACCTCCTGCATTGTCGCCGCCAAGGCTCCGCAGATGTTTTCAGCCACACTCTTGCCCATCTCTTCGATGGAGGCCTTGATTTGGTCGCCCATAGCTTCGATGGCTCCGATCGAGCCCTTCGAGGCCTCCGCTGCCCTCACGGTGACCTCGGTCAGACTCTCCAACGATGCTGCCAGCGCGTCATACTTGTTGTTCGTCACATCCTTGACTGTCACCACCTCTTTGTCCTGGCGCGGCGGTTGCTGTTTGTCCACGGGGTTCGACATCGTCAGACTGCAGTATTTCTTCATACAATCGGCACACCAACCAGGCTCTGATACCACTGAAAGAACACGAATCTAGGTGTGCGATTGAGGATCGTGATTGGTATGAGAATTAGGGATTTGGGATGAGGTAGAATTTGGGAATTAGGGTTGAGAGAAGAGGTTTCCGGGCACCGGGATGGTGGCCGACGAGTTGAAGAAGGGAGGAGGGGGTTTCGGTTGTGATAGGGAGAGAGAGAGAGCTTAGGGAATAATTCAGTTGTTATTGCTTAACCCTAACTTATGCCTGACACAGAATATATATAAACCGACTAATTCCCTCTAGATACCCAAAGACTTAACCTAATCGATTTATCTCCAATAGTTCCCAAAATAGCCGACATAATATAAAACGTCAAATAACAAATAAACCCCAAATTACTAATTGTCTGACACAAGTGCTCACCGAGAGAGCAATTGAAGAGCCCGATCAAAGGAGGTCTGCTGAGATGAAGAGAATGGCGAACGCTTTGTAACACCATACCTGGTGGCTACTGCACTGCAGGACAATAATTATGGGTTCTCGTCCTACTGAACTGAAGATGGCCACGACATTCATTTGTCCTAGGAGGTTCTTTTGGGTTTTTTCAGTCCCCCAATCTGGGTGTTGTTAGTATGACTCTAGTTGTACTCTCTGCCATTCAAGTCAACCGACTCGAATAATCACAAGGATGTAGAAATAGGAATTTATTTATTGTGATCCCTGGCTCTTGCACCAAACCCCTACAACTCGTGTAGGTTTTACAACGAATTATCTCAAATTCGAACAGTCTCCCCGGGCCTAGCTGCGCCCAATGACGAATAGCCCACAATTATGAGGCCCAAAACTACCGATCCAACGCGAGCGGCCCGCAATCCACCTCCTCCTCCTGGCCCACGTGATCAACATCAACGGCGCCATTGCCATAACAATCGCCGTCATCCTCCTCAACGACATCACCGCCGCAGATCTGATCGAGAACCAGCACCAATCCCATGGCGAACGCCCCGTCGAACCCGGGCTTCACCGCCAGAGAGAACACGTCCTTCCCCAGCACCGTGTTCGTCGACGCGTCAACCTTCCGCCGGATCTCCGCCACCACCGCTCTCCTCGCCGCGTCTATCACGTTGCAGCTCCGGCTCCCGTAGCTCCCTTCGATCTCGTACTCCTCACCTGGGTTTTCGTACACCTGCACGCTCATCCCTGACCGTCCGATTATAGAAGACCGCCTCACGCTGAACATCGCCTTCTGCCCTTCCTTCCTCTCCCCCAGGAATCCTTCCCACCGCTGATGCAGACTCGGCCTCTGCCAAGCAAAAAAAACAGTGGGGAAAAAATTGATTCGGAAGGTTCTGACTCGGTAGTGAGATACTGAGGGCGTGTATTGTATTGTATTGTATTGTATTGTTCTTGCTAATTGGGTTACCTTCTTCCGGACAGTGAGTAAGCAGCGGCCGTGGGGATCCATGAGGACGAGCTCGTCTCTGTCCCGGGCGTCGGGCTCGTACGAGTCGACCCGGAAGACCAACTCGCCGTTGCTGCAGTCGTACACGGTGAATCCGTCATTGGCGTAGAACAGCGAGGTTTTGAAAACGGTGTAATGCTTCTCTTCCCGACTCACGAATCCCCCATCAACAACGATTCCTGTGTTTATTTGCTTCATTTTGGTTCGAGATCGGAGCAATTGGGGTTCCTAAATTGAACGGGGGCGGCCGAGATGTATAGAAAGAGAGAGAATGGGGAAGGAATGAGTGCGGATGGAGATTTGAAGAAGACTGTGGCAGCTTTCAGCACACGGTCACTGTTAATTATAGTGCTACTAATCTTCTTCCTCGTCCTCTTGGAATAGCGACTGGGGACATGGCAGCGAAAAAGCAATTATGGAAATGGTGGGACAGAGAGATGGGACGGTGGTGGTGCAACTCGAATACTTGCGACTCGTCGCCGGGTTTTGACCGACTCAGTGGGGTTTTTTGGTTGGTCGAGAAGGAAAGGAAGCAAAGGATTCCGGAGATCTTTTTTTGTTCCTTCTTTTCTTTATTTTGAGGCGTTTGCTTCCTGGTTCAGGACAAGTGAGGGCTACAGTACCGGTGCGGCACTTACGGCCTGTTTGGAAAAGTTAAATTTTGAGGAAATGGAATTTCCATTCTCAAACTTTTCATGATTCTTATGTTTGGAAGTAAGAAGTAAAAAGGAAATGAAATTCCAAAAAGTAAGAAGTTGGAAATTCTAAATTCTATCAAAAGTGGTCGGAATTGGTGGAGAGAGTGATGAAATTAGTGGACCCACATTAATTTTGACTCACCTTTACAAGAAAGCTCTTACTACTTTTAGATTTAAAATCATTAATACCAAGGATATTATTGTAAAAGCACTTGTAATAAATCATTTCCAATTTTTTCCAAACATAAAAAGATGAAATCATTTTCCAAACTTTTGGATTTATTCCAAACATAAATTCTTGAAATGAATTCCCACTTGAATTCAGATTCTCACAAGAAATGGAATTCATTTTCCAACAGAATTATATCCAAACAAGCTGTTAGAGCGTGAATAGAACATTAATATTATATCAATTTATTTAATCTAACTAATGTCAATTTAAGACACTCCCCTTCTTAAAATTACCAAAAATACTCTAAAAGTCTAAAACCAAACAAAATTGAAGATTTTTTCTATAAGATTTTTTTTTGTCAATAGATCACTCATTATAAGAGGAAATCATTCAGATACATTGTAGCAAGAGGGATTTTTTTTTCTATAAGAATTAAGAACGGGATTTTTTATGTCTAAAAGTCCAAAACCAATCAGTGGCTTCATTTACAATTAGGCTAACAACACAATTTTGTGCTAGATTGGCCCACGTAGTTTACTGATCCCAGCCCAAAAGGAGGTGGGCTAATCGATGAGCCATTTCAATGGCAGACCGGGAGATGAAAACCAACACTAACTTCTTCAAGTTCTTCTTCCTTTTTCACTCATGCCTTCACCTACCCATCTAGTATGTTCCCACAAGCTCTGTTCTACCATCTTCTCCTTCTCTTGGCTCTAAGCTACACTACCCTCGTTCCTTTTTGGCAAAACCCATAATGAATTGCCCATTGATATCTCTCACCACACCCCCAGTCCCAAACCCTTCTTGCTCAAAGACCCCATTGAGTTTAACTTTGTATTCACCTAATGGTGATTTCTTCCATGCCTTCGAGTAGCCTAGTGCGCCATGCATGTCTGGGTTTCAGTTTCGTTGGGCTTCCAGTTCCAGATAATTGTCCATCCAACAGCCTGCCTTTTGCACGACATGGAAGAATTGATTGTTAATTTGGATTGATGGGTACGATTGTAAGTTGAAACTGAAATTGAATTGTCTTCTTCATTAGGGAGGTAAAGTGTAGTGGAGCAGGGGAGGGTAGCGGAATCGGGAAGAGAGGGAGAGAGAGACGTTCACACCCGGATTAATCGCTTCAAGAGTCCAGAAGAAATACCAATTAAGTTTCACAAGATTAAGCATAACGGAGAGTCGATGTTAGTACGCGAATTCAAGAATATAATTCGCGCTCTGGAAAAATAAAAAGCGCGAATTTTCCACGGTATTCGCAGAAACCGCGTTTTGCCGCGCCAAAGCGAGAGCGGCGAAGGCACACCCGCGAATTGGGTGACCTAACGTAGACCACTCCTGGCACTCACGGTAAGCTTTGATGCACGTATTGTACGGTGATGGAGTGCATTCCCTAAACACAAGCTCATTCCTCGCTTTTCATATATTCCAGCACAGAAACACACTTGGAGGATGCTCGAGGGCGCGAAGCTGTCCTTCAAACTGCAAAACCAACCAACGAAAGAGGAAGAACTCGAAGGGAATGGAAATGAAGGAAAGAATATGTTCCTAGTATTAGCCACATGGTCACATAGGAAAAGACAGTGAAGGAGAGACTCATCTGGGCTTTTACAACAAGGAGAGATAGTATTTGGAGAGCATTTCCTTCTTCTCAAATTGCTTTTCGTAGCAATGAGGTCTTTAGCAAATCTCCAAATGAAGTAATGCAGTTTCGGTGGGAGGGACAAGCTCCATATCCATTTCCACCGATCTTTATCAAACTCCGAGATGTCATTACTAAGAGGGGTTCATGCTCCCCCCATCGATCTGTGGAAAGTGTGATAAGCAGACCGGACCGAAAATTCTCCCTTCTCCATAAACTTCCAAGCCCAGAAATCAATCCCATTCTCTGGACCAATAGGTATACATTTGATAGCATTTGATTCCTCCATGGTCACCTCGCTTGCAAGAAGATCATGATTCCACCCTGGACTAACCGGATCAATCCACTCTGCCACCTTGGTCATTGAATGGGTATTCTGATGTAAGCGAAAACCCGAGATAGAATGCACCCATGGATCATTAAAGGCTCTGGTTTCCTCTCCCGGGCCAATAACTCTAATGACTCCCAAGTTCAAAACCTTCTTTGCTTCCCACAAGCTGGACAAATCCATGAGGGTCGGCTACCCTTTTTAGCAGAGAGAAAGTCTCCTTGGTGAAAATAAAGTCCCTTGAGTAGACGAGCCCAGAAGGCCTAGGGTGAATGGATAAGTCTCCAAGCTTGTTTTGCTAGAAGTGCCATATTGAAATCCTTGAAATTTCAAAATCCCAAACCTCCTTCAGATTTAGGAGAGCATAAAATCTCCCCCTTACACCAATGGATTGATTTCTTTAGCATAGATCCTGACCAGAAGAATCTTCTTAAATAGCATCCATCTTCTTGGTGAGAATATCAGGCAGTAAGAAGAGGCACATAATATATGTAGGGATTGCCCGAATGACCGCCTTGATGAGAACTTCTTTCCTCCCAAATGATTGTAGCAAACTCTTCCAAGCCTCCCCTTTTTTCTCCATCCTTTCGATAAGATATGAGAATGTTTCCTTCCTTGAGTTTCCCAACTCTGTTGGTACACCCAAGTACTTAGAATGGCAATTAGTGCTAGTAAACCCATCATATTAATAATGGCCTCCTTCTCGCTCTGGGTTACATTCGCACTGAAGAAAACGGAGGATTTGGCCCCATTCACCTCTTGACCCGTAATTGCACCATAATCATTGATAATCTGAATGATCCTGCCTGCCTTGAGAGTATTTGCTTTCCCAAATACAACTGTATCATCAGCAAATAGACAGTGAAAGACCACCGTACACCTGGGGTTGAGCTTGATACCTTGAATTTGTTGAGAGCTCATGGTTTTCTCGATGAGGAAAGTAAGGGCATTCGACATTAAAATGAATAACAGTGGCAACATCGGATCTCCTTGCCTGATACCTCTAGATGGAGAGAAAAATGAGGTCGCCTCTCCATTGAAGAGAATCGAGAATCAAACCGATCTAATGGCCACACTAATCCATTTACACCATTGAGGAGCAAAACCATATTTGTGCATGAGGTACTCAAGGCAATCCCAATCAACAAGATCATAAGCCTTCCTCATGTCAAGCTTCAACATCATATCCCTCCTATTCCCATAAATGATGAGGACATAAATGGCCAGTCACACGTGCTAAGGCAAGGACGTTGAAGGAGAAGCTTGCGACATATTTGGAGAGCTACTTTGGAGCCATGAACGTGGAGCTATTTCGAGGGAAGCCATATATGATGATTCGAGTGAAGGAAAAAGGAGGAAGTGCTGAAGAGAAGACAGATTGCAAGAAGCATCCTTAACGGGTTTGCTTAATGGGTCCAGCCTTAACGGGTTTACTTAACGGGTCCAGGCTTAACGGTTTGGGCTTAACGGGTTTGCTGGGCTATTTCCGAGTTTTCATGTTTTAAAGTCGGTTTATGATTTTTTTTCCATGTTGGAGTCGGATTTGGGTTGTACTTTGCCTAATTAAAGGGCAGAACACGTTGGTTTGCCTTTTGACGATTATTATTGAATTTCAGAGGCTATTGTCGAGTTCCATACGTGGAATTTGCCCTAATTACTCTATCGAGAATCTCCAGAGTGCTAGAGCGACTCTTATCAGCTAGGTATCCGCCCTAGTTGTGGCGAGCTACCCATATCGATTGCCCTTTATTCTGAGTTGAATCTGTCCGATCGATTCATATATCGATTGCCCTATTCACGGGTGAGTACTGTCCGATCGATTTCAATCCTATCCGGTTCTGTTTGGTTCGAGAAGCTTGACCCTGCGCTACTTTGATTACATCAAGTGGTATCAGAGCTAAGGTTCAAATCAGTGGCGTGTTCTTGAATTTTTTTTTGAAGATCTTGTGCTTTCTTGTTCGTGTTTTTGGTGGTTTTGTGCGAGTTCTTGAAGGTTTTGGCGTGTTCTTGAGCCGCAAGACAGGAGGTTGTTTGTTCTTGGGAGTTCTTGGTGTTTCTTGCGAGGCAAGAAGAGATTGTGCGAGTTCTTGTTAAGTTCTTGTGTTCTTGGAGTTTTCTTGCATCGCAAACATGGAAGCAACACTCGAAGCGATCAGAAATCAATTGGACAACATTGCTCGTGCTCAAGAAGAGAAAATAGCAAGGCTTGCCGAGCAAGCCACGAGGATGGAGGCTGCCGAGACAAGGCTCCAGTTGCCGGTTGTGGTTGATGCAAACCCTAACCCTAGACCTCGACAAGAAGAAAGGCGAAGGGAAAACCGAGGTCTTCCACCCTTGGTTCACGAAGTACAGTGTCATATGCGCCAGCATAGACGCCTTGGAATGCCTCGAGCTGAAAGGAGAGGGCGGCAGCTGCATCATGAAGAGGAGTTTAATGACGAGG